TTTTTTTCTGACTCTAATTACACAGGTCTATAAAACAGGAAGATCGCCTGGGAGCCCTGGAGAGCTGTATTACTTGGACAATAAACAAAGAGGAATTTTGAGAGTCGTGTGGTTCAGAAGAATGGAACACGAATGAACAATGGTAAAATCTTCAATAAAGGCACAAAACTTTCTGCTCCAGTGTGGTTCCTCCAGAACCTCTTTGGCCATTTCCATCAAAAGGCCTTTGAAAATAATAACATGCATCCTGTAAGGAGACTGCCCTCCCTCGCTGTCTTCTTTCTCACTCACCCCTTCCTGGTGATACTCTGTGTAACGTTCCAACAGAAAATCACTACTCACAGAGGCGGCTTGTAATTTCAAAGTGATTTCCTTCAATTACAGGCTGGGGTTTTATTTTAATGAAAAAATATGGGATGCTTGTATCCAGCAGTGACCTGATGGATTCCAAGGCTCAAGAAAAGGAAGGAGATGGAAAAAGTACACAGTTCTGATTCATATCGCCAGATCCTTTGCTTGCAGAAAACAAGGGAAAAAAATTATACATTTTTTTCCTAGTCAAACGCATCTTTTTTGATCCTTGCTCCAATTTTACCCTAATAAAACAGTATGCTTTATTATGGTAGCCAGTCTTTAAATTATTTTTCTTTGGTTAAGGCAGAAGCCTGCCACAAAACACTCAGAACCCCAGGATGTGTTCTAGCTATGTGGACAAATTCCCCAAATTCTCAGTAATGCCCATCTGGGAATTTAACAGAACAGAACAGAACAGAACAACAGAGTTGGAGGGGACCTTGGAGGTCTTCTAGTCCAACCCTCTGCTCAAACAGGAGACCCTATACCAGGGGTAGTCAACCTTGGCTCTTTTATGACTCGTGGACTTCAACTCCCAGAATTCCTGAGTCAGCTGACTCAGGAATTCTGGGAGTTGAAGTCCACGAGTCATAAAAGAGCCAAGGTTGACTACCCCTGCCCTATATCATTCCAGAGAAACGGCTGTCCAATCTTTTTCTTAAAAACCTGTGAAGATGGAAGGCAATCTAGCTAAAAGACAGCAGACTGGGAGAGACTGGCCTAGACTTGTGTTTCTCAACTTCAATGACATTAAGATGTGTGGACTTCAATTCCCAGAATGATTATTCAAACATCTTCAAGTTGCTGAGGTTGAGAAACACTGAGCCAGATACTGTAAATTGCTGGTTTAGTGGTCATTCCTTTGATTTTTGGTTGCTAAGCACCGTTCGTTATTGTCAATCTATTTTCCAAGGCGCCTGAAGGCAGGACAAGAAGCAACGGATGGAAACTAATCAAGGAGAGAAGCAACCTAGAACTAAGGAGAAACTTCCTGACAGTTAGAACAATTAATCAGTGGAACAACCTGCCTCTAGAAGCGGTGAATGCTCCAACACTGGAAGTTTTTAAGAAGAGACTGGACAGCCATTTGTCTGAAATGGTATAGGTTTCCTGCCTGAGCAGTGGGTTGGACTAGATGAGGTCCCTTCCAACTTCTTTTATTATTATTATTATTATTATTATTATTATTATTATTATTATTATTATTATTATTATTATTATTATTATTATTATTATCATCATCATCATCATCATCATCATCATCATCATCTCCTTTTATGGAGGCTAGGGCACATAGAACAAGAGAGCTATACCAGCTCAGAATGTTCTCAGACAGGAAAGGTTTGGCCGAGTGTCTAAAGCTAGTTGGAAGCTTAAGACCTGAAAACAACAGGACATGTGGAAATCACAGTGACTTCTAAGAGTAAGAAATTCTGGCAGCAGAGCTCTTGTAAAATACGGTAAGTCTAGAAGCTGTAAACAACCCTCTGTTTTGTATTGCAGGACATGGCATGAAAGAAAATGAGGTGGTAATCTTGCTAATGCTAAGCAGCGTTAGGTTTGATTTTGCACATCGCCCACAATGAAGGAAGAAAAAAATGGAAACTAAAAGAAAGAACATTCAAAGGCCCCAGTAACAGAATCAAGCTGAAATCTTACCCTAATTTTGCAATTTTCAAGATTGCTAGAATTTATTTTAGGATACTTTTTTTAGGATAGATAATGTTCCCATTTCTCTTTGGGTTTCCCTTTTCTTTTTAATCTTACCTGGTTTAAACAGCATATGTAACCTCATGAGAGAATGCATTCTATTCCCAGGTTCAAATTATAAATTAACCAAAAAAATTGACTTTGCCCAACATACTAAGCCAGACATTAACACTAACCAAACATAGCTGCTTACATAATGCATCAACAGGCAATAATTTTTGAGAACTGATTTGATAACCGCAGTATGTTAAGATATTTCACAGTAGCCTTGTCTCTATGTGGTGGCGTAAAGATGGATTAAACTCCCAGAATTCTCACTTAACGTGGTTTTAGGAGGCCCCAGGTTGGAGCGACCTGTCTGGTGTAAAGGAACAGGTGCCCTCCGAAACACCATGACACCTAAAGACAAATCTGGTGAGTTCCTCGCCACTTAGTAAACTCTAAAAAAGTTTAAAATGTATAAAAATAACATTAAGAACAAATTTTAACATCCTCTTTTACAACCTTCCCAAATTGAGTAAAATTTGCCTGATGTTTTTCTCCTGGTATTTGTTTTCATCCTAATGGAAACAAAAATTCAAAACAAAGGAACGGAGAATTGTAGAATTTGGGATCGTTATAAATTGCCGTTAGAGTGGGCATAGTTCAAGGCTCCTGTGAAATGGAGTTGAACCTCACTCCTGGTGATCATGTGGTCTTTGGGGAAAAAAAATATGGAAGTGGTTTTCCTTGGCTTCCTCTGGGAAGTCTTGTTCCCACAATTGTAGCTTTTCAATCCTGAGATTTTCTGTGGATGGGTCATTCAACAGGAATAGAGCTGTTGAATGTTTCAGGATCAGTCAAAGCTGGGTAAAACTACAGAATTCCTTAAGTAGATCTCAACTCCAACTCTGCACATCGGTATTGCTGGGTAGGGAATTCTGGGAGTTGAAGTCCACTCGGTTTAAAGTTGCCATGGTTAAAAAACACTGGCTTACATGGACA